GAGAGAGAGAGAGAGAGAGAGAGAGAGAGAGAGGGAGGGAGGGAGGGAGAGAGAGAGAGGGAGGGAGAGACAGAGAGAGTGAGATTCTGCACATTTGTCAGTTTGTGAGAGCTCCTTGTCAAGTGTAAGTACAGTACATACACTGGGAACATGAAATGTAGCTGCTACGGTTATCTGCAATGTACTGTGCTGTGGGGGCAGTCAATTCTGAGAAAAAAAGGGACACGTGATCTTTGAGATCTAATGTGGAATTGTTCTGAGGAACATGCCATGTTTACTGTTCATTGTCTAAATTCTTGGAAGGCTTCCTGAAAAGCATGTAGCGAGCCAAAGCAGTCCAAATCAGTTACATTTCAGGATTCCTAATGGCTTTTGCTGATCCTCTCTCTGTCCCTCTCTCTCTCTCATTTGCTCCCTCATTATTTTTCCACGTTTCTATATTTTAGCATATTCATAGATGGACTGTACGTGTGTGTTTGTGCATAAACTGCATAAACTGTACTTTCTGGGATCAGAAAATAAGGTCCACAGCTACATTATCATCTTCGTGTGTATTTCAAACCACTGAGGGAATAAGAAATAATTTTGCAAAAGTAAATACATACTTCCACACACAGGCTACAATATGTTCTATCTTATCCTCAAATCCATTTTCCTCGAGTGAGGCTGAAAGTAGGAGGGACTAACTAAAGCTGGTAGTGAATTCCAAGAAAGAAATTATGCCACATTGTATATTCAATGAGTAGCAAATTTGAGGAACTGCCCAACCCTGTTTTGTGGCTTTGGCAATCTTTTTTTTTACACCTCAAACACACACACGCATGTTGCTTGGCTGCAAAACAATAGTGTCATGACAGATAAAGCAACATGAAAAATCTTCATGCCAACTTTATGAATGATATCTAACACATATACTGTATATCTCCTGTAGGATCGGACATCTCTTTTTTGATTTCTGCTCTGCCTGACCACAACAACATTTTTACTGGTATGAAATGTTAGGCTACCAGGTAACTACTGTACATTAGTTAGCAGACAACCCAGTGGAACATTGGCCAGTTGGACGTAATTTAGTTTATCTAAGTAAATTTATCATTCAGCAGTGCTTCCAAATTCACTCATTTGGCGGTCTATCTGATTTGATGTGACTCCCAACTTAATTTTGGCTTTGATGAGGAAATATGTGGACATGGCAAGGTCAACAGGGCCTCCAACATTGTTGACTATTCATCAGCATTTCATGAGTTGAGAATTTATAGCCCTATAAAACCCGTACATGGAGCTGAGAGGATATTCTTCCTCGGCTTGTAACTGAGTAATGTTTGTATCTTTTTAAACCGTTTGGCTGGTGTACTACTCTCCTATTGACAGACTTATAAAGTTTGGGCTGTTCCGCCACAAAAGAGAAACAAGCTATCTTACTTTCCTATCAGTCCCCCGGGTAAATTAAACAGGGCATGTTGGCCAAAGACAAGCAATCCAATATAGACCTGGAGATAGTTAAGTTGTAATTTGCAGACAGATTTTTCAATTGTTGCCACTTTAAAGGAAAAAAAACTGTTTTAACACCTACACAGTGAATTACTATGTGCTGGAGTACGGACCAATATTTGAATTAGCTTCAAATAAAATATATTGCTTAGATATTTTAACACCTGTGACATTGTGTGATTTCTCTCTGGATATCTGTGCTTGATATCTCCGGCTTAACATTCGGCAGAAAGACATTTCTTCACAGTTATCCTTAACTGTTCGAATGTCAGTTCCATGAAAAGCAACCAACAAGCCTGAACACACCAGTGGCGGCAATTTTTTTTTTTTTAATCCAGCAGGGTTTAACTAGAACAGGCTCAGCATTACGTAGAAAATACAAGAGCAATGCATGAGAGCATGATGTATGACTGGTGCCCTGTATCGCATACCATCAGCAATGACTCATCCACTGTCTCAGGAAAGGAAAATCATACACACATAAACACACTCTCCACACAAGTATACACACATACAGAGAAAAGTGCACCAAGCATGAGGGCATGTGCACACACACACACACACACACACACACACACACATGCACGCACACGCACGCACGCACATACACAGCAAATGAAGCAGCACTAGGGACAAATGCATCCTCCAGGTTTTAAATGTCGTACTTTGGATCAATAAATGTGTTTTAATGAAGCAGGGGAGTAAAGAAAATCTCTGGTTGCGATGATTTTCAATATCAGTAGCATGCTGTTTTAATCTTCCCCTGAGTGTGTCATAGTAAAATACAGTAAGGATTAAGACTGATGCTTTGTCCTCAAATATTTGCTGTCAAAGAAAAAACAGTGGAAATCACCTTTAGGCAGTTTTCTCCAACTGCTGATGCTGATGTGCCTGTGATGGTAAATGCTGCCTTATCAAAGCTCTAGAGAAGTTTTACACAGGTTGTAATCAGATAAGGGGTGTGGCGATATATCCATATTGACAATTACCGAAATATTTACAAAAATGCAACATTGATATTGCGTTTATAATACACATAAAAAACATCATGATGGCAGATGTTAAGCCTTGTGGATCTTTTGTTTATCGGTATATTCGGTTGTCCTTTCACTTTCCATCAAGTTGAATTGTTCTTTTTGTGCACTTTGTACAGCTATAGTTACAGACTCCCTCTACACCTCCCTACTTGAGTAGAATTCATTTACCGAAAAAAGAAAACAAAGTTAAAGATGAAGTTGACTGATAGGATTATCATTATTGTTTTGTTTTTTTCAAATTTTCTATAGATATCGTGATAATATCGTTTTTGTGAATTCGTGACAGCCCTAAGGTGGACTATGTATGTAAGTACAAATGTTTTTTTCTTTTACAGTGTAAATGTGTGTTGACACAACATCAATCCTAGTTCATTTTTGGGTCTAGCAAGAGATGAGTCTCGCAGTTTTACTCCTCACCCTTTTCTGTCAGGATCCGCATCAGTTATATTTCAAACAGCGTTGCCTTCCTTCTCCTTGACACTCCCCACTTGCAGACAGCCCCGGGCCCCCTTGTGGAATGCTGTATAGTGTGAGGCCTATGGAGGAAGGGCATCCCGGGACACACAGCGAGAGTGCACACACACGCACACACTCACACACACACACACACACACCCACCCACCCATACACAAATACGCACACATATGCTAACACACTCACAGACACACGCAAACACGCACACACAGACAAATACAGCTGTTGAGAGCCATCACAACCCTTTGGCAGACGTCCAAGTCAAAGACGAGTGGTGTTGGAAGGCCTCCGTTTAGAAAGAAAAAAAAAAAAAGTCCCACATTTTCCATGTATGTTGTGTTAAACACTGAAGATAGAAACTTGGCAGAACAAACCCACATTACCCCGAAATGATTTCCCCGTATTGGGAGGAGGCCTATCATAAACTACCTTGCTGTCTTCGTGTTGCCTTAGGTAGGTACACCTATAGATACATACTGATTCAGCTATATAAAAAAAGACAAGCACAACACACCTCATTATCGCCCATGATATTTTTACATAAGAGAAGTAGAAACAGATGGGCACTAAAACACTCAAAAACTCTGAAGTGGAATTCATTACTGTAAAATTGTGAGGAGCATGTTTTTAAACAAGCTATGAACTTCACACTACACTACTTTAATGATTCATATGAATCTATAAAGCAGGCTTTAAGGTGCAATCCAACCTGTGTGACACCTGTCAGGGACCAGGATGCCAGCCATACTGTAGAGTTACACAGCACGTAAAAGAGATAAGATACAGCCCATAACGAACCTGCAAGTATGTGGGGTTTTTCTCTTTCACAGTCATCTTGAGATCAAACACATTGACATTCGACCGTGGACTAGAGACAACAAGAATGAGAGCAGGGTGACAAGAGAGACAGAATGTGTGCGAGAGGGAAGGAGAGTGACAGGAAATGAAGCAAATTGCCACATGCTACATGTGGGCCAGCCACATAATACACCTATGTACACACAAGAGAAGGAGGGGGGGAAGGAGAGGGAGGGGGGTTACTGTATGTATAGTCAGATGACTCCTACAGGGTTCAAGTAAGGTAAACAGAGCCTCAACTGACACAATAGCAGTCAACTGTAAAATGTGTAAAGGAAACTTGTTTTTCAACTTAAATTAAAATTATTTTTAATCCTGTGATTTCCCTTTGGTAAAATATTAACATTGGCTTTAAGTGTCTTGATTCATTTTGCTTCACAGTCCTCACAGCCCAAAGATTTTACAGCCTATATCATGTACAGACAGAATAGTGTTATGTCTCTTGTATTAAGTAGAGATTTTAAACACACACAAAAAAAAACATTTAAAGATGCAACAGTGCTGACAGTGAGGATTTGAGAGGCCAGCTTTATTAGATCATATAAGAATACTACACTTTTGAAATAATGCCCCAGAAACATCAACCTCCCGACTATTCCTTGTAGCAACCGTGCAACCTATAGCAATACAATGGATGCATTATGGGTGGAGATTTTTTGTTTTGACTTCATCGTGACGCAAGACCGACAATATCATGCCACTTTCTCCACTCATGGCTACAGTTGAAACTCATGACAATACTATTTCCTGTGGTTTTTTAAAGTATTGCCCAACATTACTGTAGAACTACATTTTGTTGGGGAGGGTAAAAGAAAAACTACAAATATCATATGTCTGATTGAATTCTTTCAGTGGCGTGCGGTAGGCTGCACTTCTACGGGAATTGCCATGCTCCACGTAAAATCCTCACATTTCGCGATATTACTTCATGAAAGTTTTAAGAGTCTAACTTAGTTGAGCTGTTAGTGTATCAGAATTAACTCTCGTGGTGTATTGTCAGCATAGTGCCGCTGTGTGCAGCTGCCTATTGTGCCTTTAAAGAGGGAGAAGCGAGGGAATAATGCATGGTAAAAAACCTATGCGTCATACAAATCAGACACTGCAAACATCAAGCCAAGACAGAGGGGGGAATATATTTACCCGATATGTCGCTAATCCATAAACTGCGGCTGTCAGCTGGCGCAGATGTGGCAGGCTTTCTCTTCGGATAACCTATAAAGTTTGCGAGGTGTTTAAAAAAAAAAAAGGGGAAAAAAAAAGAAAGAAAAGCAGGCCCCGGTTTCCCCCTCGTCCGTTGGCTCTCTCTATCACTCCAGTCCTATCTTGGCCGCTCGTCCCCCATCTCTCTATCCCACTCTCTCTTTCTCTCTCTGCCCGCTTCTGTCCCTTTACAGGAAGTGAACGCCGCTCACATGAACAGTATACGGACTGCAAGGCAGCCTGACATCATGCACCGTTCGGTATAGAGTTCTTTTTAAAGACACAGACATTTTGCTGGGACCTGGCAGGTTACTGTAGGTGCACTGTCCTACTGTAGTCTACGCGGCAAATGGACTGTCAACAGTGTGTGGTCATATCGTGCGCCTTTACGAACACATGAACTCGGTGCACTCTGCGGGCTTAAAGGTATAGACTACTCCAGTGTGGGTAGCCTACATAACTAAACCCAGCGGGCGAATTACCCTGCGACAAACACTGTGTGTGATGTCTTACTTGAAAAGGCAACATATCGGAGCGTATTTTGGGCTACAAGGAGGACAGAGGTGCCTGGTTGTGTTCCTAAAGAAAATGTACATGCGTGGTTACCTCACGTGTCCGTATGTGATGACAGCTCAGGCTACATGATGCGCATGTGTGCTGTTCTGCTAAATTATAAGCGCCAACTGCTGGCGGCGTGACCTCAAGTCAACTTTTCTTTACTGCAGACATGCAATATTACTGCAGGGCTTGCAAACTTCATGGTGGCAGAATATCTTTCTGCTAACTCACTCTACAGGACGCCATATAAAACCATTTTTCATATTATCCTACATACATTTGTACACTTACTGTATAGTTTATGATTGGCCTTATCAAGGTAACCTGTGATAGTTTGGGGGTTTGCTTGACTTGATTTTTTTGTGGACTTTTATATTGCCTTTTGTATTGCCTTTTTCACTTGCATTTTGATGTTTTAAAGGTTTCTGTCTTTTTTCCTTTACTCATGACCCTTTAAACCAAAATTAAGCTCTTGTCAAAGTCTGAGCTGTTCAAGCAGGTAAAATATTTTTTACTCACTTGTTAATTTTATTATCTTTTAGAGGCCCACATAGTTAAAAAAACAAAAAAAACAAAAACAAAAAACAACACACCTAGCACTTAACAAGTAAAAAGAAAACGCAAGAGAAATTACATAGATTTATGGAGCCCCCCCCCAACTCCTTAATCATCCTTGACCCCTCATATTTAACCTCTTAACATTAATGAGGTTGGGAATCACTGTTGTAAGCGGTCCTTCACACATGATTATCTAATTATCTGTTTTACAAGTAAGATCTTATTCCGAACAAGCAACTAGTGAAGGCCCATCAGAAAAAGTGTATTTGCTTACAATTATACTGGAAATACTGTATTATTTACCATTACAAAGAACTTTAATGTATTTAGTCACTTGCAATCTCCACCTTTATAAGTTTAACTGCATAGGCCACATCCTAATTTGCTGTACTGTTCTTATTATCACATCTGACATTGCTGTTTATCTCTTCTCTCATTACTTTTCATTTGTAACTTCTTGTGTTTCTTCTGACCTGTCAGTGTGTGAAAGTACTTTTGTGAGATACCCAGTTTCATTAAAGGATCAATACTTACTTGTTCCATGATGAGACTTAACTCGGTACACTAAGTCCTTTGATAATTCTATATAGGCTTTCATTGGGTTGATGATTTAATAGTATACAGTATGCTTATTGTGCCTCTTGCTATTTTAAAAAGTGTATGGTAGCACTGTAATATTCCTGTAGGGACTATCATGTGTCTGTGGTATTCAAGAGTGAGTTTATAATGATCTTATTGTACTTAGGCATATGCCACTAGTACAGTTATGTCCTCAATAATGTTTGCAATGAAATTAAAGATTTTTTCATTATAGTTCATTGTTCAACTAAACCAGTAAAAGCTGTAACTGTAGCCTAATAAAATGGCAGTTGATTTTGTTAGCTTCAATACTCTGTGGTCTAGTAAGAATATAGCAGGTCAAAACTTCACTTTCATCGATCTGTAACAATGAGATGAATGAAGTTCACAAAAAGAACAAAAAAAAAAGAAAAAAAAATCTTGCAAGTCATTCAGACTTAGCAAACAACTTCAGTTTTTGAACCAAAAAGAAGAAATGAAAATGAGTAGGCAATGACTTACTCATCAAGCTCACCTACAGTACAGCTCTATGCCAAACACCACAAGACAACTCATGTTCTCTACTTCTCCTCTGGCGTAACTGGGCTGTCAGATCGGCCCGGGCTCAGAGTACGAGGCATATGATGTGTTGATCCTCAGAACAAAAGCTTATTGTTGCCCCCTGATTATCCATTTACAGCCTGAGGCCATACCAGTCTCAAGCATGTCTTAGTCAGGCCACCAGCCACTGTGTCGAAAGTTCATATCTAAAGATGGCCTTCTGGTAATTTCCAGCCTCTTTTGCTTTGCTCTCCTGTGCTTGTGATAGATAAACATTGAAATCTAAGCTGATGCTTGCACATTACATAAAATATCATGTCAAATATGTACATTTATACCAGTTTAAGTATTAAAATGCTTCAACATGTTGTGCCCTCATTAGTTCCTGTAAGCATACTTCACGCTATGTGAAAATGAGGCTATATAAGGTGATTGGGACACAGCCATTTCCATTGTTATGCTTGGCAGAAACAGCGGGATCTAGATGTGGTTGGTGTTTGTGTGCTGGGGGAAGCTAAACAGAGAAGTCTGTCAGATCAGCTCTGAAACCATGTGAAGAGCGACTGATGGAACACTTGACCCAAAGCCGTTCTCAATTTGAACTGTCACACACTCTTATGACACAGCTCGAGGCATGCCATCATGGGTGTTAGACAACACAGTAAACACATTCACTTGACCATGCAGTTTAAAGCACAAAAAACATTTCATCAACAGAAAATTTATTAAATAACTTTACAAAAAAGTTTATGTTTGTCACTTCTCTTTCCTCTGTTCTGCCCCAGCCATTCCACAAAACGACATTATACACACTGCTGTTGACAACTTCACTTGTTATGGTCACTTCATCCACCATACGTTAATGTATATTAGCTTCATCTCTGTGGTATATGTATATTTACATGGTATTGTGTTTACACACAACATCATCTGTAATTTCAACCCGGGAATCATTGTACACTTTTGCTTTTAGGGCCCAACTAGTTTTATGGCACTCGACTGCCTTGCATCACACAGCCTGGATGCACATCAGTCATATATTAAGTCACTTTTCCGTGCAACATTGACTCTGACATTCACGTTTTTCTTAATAGTAAATAAAAGTTTTTCTAGTCAAGATGCCCTGAAAACAGTTTACAAATGGCATGAAAATACAGTAGAAATGTAGTACAATAGAAATGTCATAGATCTGATTCTTATTGGATTCTATCATTTCTGAAACTAAACCAATAAGGTTTTATGAGTTGATGTCAAAAGGGTCATTTTGACTAGAGCTGGGTGATACACAGCAGTCCTGCAGGACATGTTAAAGGTGTGTGTTGTCCCATAAAACCACACAATGCTGAAGTTACAGTGTGAAGCATCCACATCGTACACTACATTTCCCATGTTGCACACATCGCAGCTACATGTCCACAAACACCATAAAGCACCAGCCAAGCCCCCCCACCAGAAACATGGTGATTTGCATGCTGTAGATGATCAGGTCATTGACCACCCCAAAGTCCAGGCGCCGGTGCCCTAACAAAAGCAGAATGACAGACAGCTTGTACTGCAGCCTCAGGAGCACGCGCACGCTGACGTACTGCAGGAAGAAGAGAGCAGAGAGCGCCACCCAGAGCAGAGAGGTCAGCAGACTGCAGCCAAAGTACAGGAGGAAACGGAGGAAGCTGTACATGCAGCGTGAGCGCAAGTAGAGGTCAAAGTTATTGTACTTGGTGCGCACTAGCTTGGAAGCGTGTGTCGACCCACAGGCCGAGTGCATGCAGGTGGTGTGGGGGCCATGGAAGCTGCGCACCCGCCGTGGGATGGGGATCACAGGCATGGGTGGGCTACTGGAGCCCAGCACAGTGAACAGGAGTCCCAGTAACAAGTGGAGTCCTCTGTGAGAGCAGCTTCCAGGGAGGCAGTTAGCTTCATTTGGTTGTGGAGCTAAGATTGGCTCTCATAGGAGCACAGGGATGAGATGTGGCAGCTGGTAGTGCCGTCAGCAAGGTTTTCCCCTTCAAATGCAACAAGGTTCTGTGAAGAAATCACATTTGTTACTTTATGTTTTTTCCCACACATTGTCAAAATGTACATGCACACAGTGATGCAAACCTATCACAAGAAATACAGGCCTGTGCATACTTCATCTTCTCCAGCTGCAAACAATAGATACATTTCAAGTAATGGGTTTAAACCCATGTCTGAGCATAAAGCCACTGATTATGTTTGCATGACTTCATCATAGCTAGCACACAGTCTCCGATCCAAAAAAGGATCTTTATCATGCATATTCTGGTCTGGAAATAAGTGATCGTGCAGAACCAATGGTAATCTTACATGCAACACTACGACGCCTTCCTCCTCTATAAAAAAAGACGACTGGTGTTTGATGCTCAGACGGCTGGTGCATTGTATCACATTATAAACAGTTGGCTGTAACATAAACACACAGGATTTGTTTTCCTTTTTTTTTTTCTCCCCGCGATGAGCTGTTTTATGCCAGCGGAGATGAGCCAGCGACGGCGAGCCGGTGCTTCTACGTCCTGTCGCAAAATATACGAGTCACCCTGCAGTGACGACAGCTGCCGAGTTAAAGGGGAAGTGCTACTCCAGACAGGATGCTCGCGTTGCATTCCAGCTTTAAATAAACTACATTAAGTGCATAAATTCTGTTAGAGTTGCGCGGATTGCACATAAGTTCCTTCAATGACCACACAGTCAGCAAACATTACGAGGTAGTGATTGCTTGCACTGTAGCCCGCACTGCGTGTGTACGTGTGTGTTTTGTTTGTGTAACCACAATACAATGCATTGGAGCAACAACTTGAGTGATTCCCTCCACAGCTGGACTAATTGTAGGGGGAATGTAAGATAATGACGCAACCTTACAAAATTACATGATGCTATCCTCCCTATATGCAATATGTTCAGAGGATATTCCTTGTGATTTGTGGGGCATTTGACCACATTTATACAAGTTAGGAAAATTAGAACTTAAGATATTATGGGAAAACATTTCCAGCTTAGCAGCTTTTATAAATTACAAATGTGAGGAAATGTTTATCACATTATTATGGTTTTAAAGCCCCTGACCAGGCTACTTGGTTTCAAACTTTCAAACATTTGGCTTAAATTACTACTAAATGTAGAAGAAGTAAAGTGAAAGTTTGAAAAAATATATTATTCATCAAGATTTTAACACAAAAACTCAGCTCGTCGGCAAGATAAGGATGACAAAACAGCCCTAAAACTGTCAACACAGTTTGAGTGAAATATTACTAAATCCTGATTGGTGCATAGAAATAAGGGACATCACCCACCATTTTCCCACCTGGGTCCCACCCACTAAAACTGCCTGAGAAAGGATCCGTTAGCACAAAACATACAGAAAGTTCTTCATGTGAAATAACTGAATCAAACTTTGGCAAAGTGTTCATGTAAAATCTCACTGTTCACAGTCAGATGCTGATTGGAAATTGGGTTTTCAGGGTCTATAATAGGTGCTTCTAACATAACATGATCTACCTGCAACATGTAGGGTGCTGAGAGGGTTGGGTAACTTTCTCCCTTTATTGCCACAAACATATGTCATACTTGTATCTGCCAAGGTAATTCAGAGTCCTCAAACTTGTGACCTGTCTGCACTGTACCTGCTGTAGTTTTGTAAAAAAAGACATTGCAAAGAGCATATGTGCATTTGTATTCATGTGTCTGTAAAGCTCACAAGGTTGCACAGTGTGTCCACATGCACGTCCTCAGAAGTGTAGGGGACCACATAAATGTGCTCTACCCTCTTGCTCAGTATATCAAGTAACCTTCATTGGGCAGATTAATGGTTTGGCTGAATGATTACATCTCAGCTATCTGTCAGCAAGCCAGATGGCAGCAGGTGGCCATAAATTATAATAAATACAGGCCTTTTTTAAAAAAAAAAAAAAAGAGAGAGAGAGAGAGAGAGTTTATTACAGTTGTTAATAGTGTGCTGGATCACTTTGCTACAAATTTAAAGGTGTAATATGTAAAATTAGAAAAACAAACCTTATAATATTTAATCAAACATACATAAAGCTGTCACTAAGGCTGAATATATTCATCCACGTACTTTGCTTTCACATTATGACAGAGTTTAGTAATGAAATCCATAGCATAATAATTTGAGTGGCAGCCAAAATCTGAAGTCAGCAAACTAAAATGGCTGTATTTATGTATTGTCCACAAGAGAGCGCTCACTGTTGCTGAATGTCTTCAAAGTGCTTTTCATCATGAGTGTGTAGTGAGTTGTAATGGTTCAGCCCACGACCTAAGTAAACTTCTTTTAATACTTAAAAAAATGACATAAGTTCACCTTTAAAACAAACTTATCAACATAGCCTAATGTTCTTGAAATTGCCCAACAGGGTGCCATAAAGACCTAGGATGAACTCTATTTGTGTAGGAGATGCTTTTATGTCGAATTCTGGTTTACAAATAACCATAAATCATCTATTTTCATTCAAAGCAAAATTGTAAGTGAACTCAGTGAACATCAAAGCAATGATAAAAATCAAATTATTGGTCAGAGTCAACTGACTTCAGCCTTTAAATCCACTCAACAGCAGCCAGATATTCAGTGTGTTATTATAGGCTACATTATTATTGTGTTTTCTGTTTACCTAAATTGCCTCTTTTTCAGAGGTATTTTCTCTAATGCTGAGGGTCAAGCCAGTGCATGTGTTGAATTCGTTGGAAGAGCTGCTTTCAGCGTTCTCTTTCATCATCACTTTCTCATGCAGTCTTATTTCTTCTGTATAAACTTGATCTTTGGCTTGTCAGTGCCAAACTGTTACACACAACAACAAAACAACCTTTAACCTAGTCTTGCCTCAGAAAAGGGGACGTCTTCACTTTAAATATTAATAGGTGAATGTTAGATCAGGGTATTTGTTGTTATAGGAAACAATTAACATTAATTTCTCTCCTGACTGAAGCCTCACCAACTGTATGTTATTCACTTTAAGGTACAAGCTGAAAATCCATCCCTGTGTTATTCCTCCCAAGCTTGGACTACAAGTTATGTACCCAAAACAATTTTTTAAACAATAATTTAGCAGCACACAACTATTTTCTATGTAAAGATAAAGTGCAGTAATGATGTCCTGTGCAGAGAATGCGGTCACACCCCCTCTGTGTGTGTTGTAATCTGAGTTTCTCTTCTTTGTTTTGGTATCTGCTCTGGCAGCATGTGCATGTTAGTGCATGTGAATCCCACCCGATAAGCAGTTAGCCCTCAGTTTATAAAGACACAGGGACTGCCCACAGGTGAGATGACACCATGCAGTAGCCTACCTAAGAAGCATTCAGGTGAAAGGAATATGACAGAATTTCCTCCACTGATGGAACAACCTTTCAGCTAAAAAGGCCTAAAACAAAGAAAGAGATAAGACCAGAGTGAAGGAGGACTGGCCATGTGGTCTACCAGTGTTGTGTGGCAGTCTCCCCTGTCTATATGTATTCCCCTAACCACCTAATGGGGGCGCTACACAAAGCACAGTTGAAATGGGAGAGAAACACAATCTAATGTGGGAACCGACTTCAACACAACACCTGCCCAAATCCCAGGCGGCTCATGGATCATGGAAACATTAAAAAGTTTTTTAAAGTTTTTACCGGCTTCATTAGTATTTTACTGGCTCCGTCCAGTTTTTGGGCCGGTCCCATCCAAGTCCAAGGCTAAATTTCTTGCCCAGTCCGACCGTGGAGCCAATACCGGTCTGGCTTTACCGAGATGGAGAACTCTATCAGCTGTGAGAGGGCTCCAGCTCGGACCTGGCTTTTCTTCTCCTCGATGTGTAAGTAATTTTATGGCTACATAATGTTACATGTCTGTTTTCATTAGTGTCCGGTTACAGAAGGCATGATAAGCTAACTCGTGAAACCAATATTATGAACGTGTTTGGCTAATGTTGCTATTGCTAGCTGACCGACTGCCAGCGTTGCTGTGGAGAATGTCAAGGCAAAGCTAGCGTGGGCTAATGGTTGTAGCTAGGGTTTTTTTGTTGGCTCTCGTATACACAGGGTAACCCAATTCAGTTGTGCCTCTTGTTGTGTGTTTAGTAGCCACTTTAAGTGAGCTTCATGACACCTTGCTGACTGAGAACGTGAGGTGAGGTGGTGGCCGAACGCAGGCCGGAAGTGTGGCTGACGAAGCATTTGTTTTGGTCTGAGATGCTGGTGGTCTAGTGCGACATCTAGTGGCAGTGACGATCGTTTACAGAACCATTAACATTGTCTCTATTCTATTGTGCACCACACAATATTCACCTTTTGTCATACGAATCAGTTCTTCTTCTGCCTGTAAACCTCTGTATGGCTTTAAAAGAATGATTTTTGATACTGAGTGGGTGCTGAAAACTGTAACGCTTACTCAAATACCTTGAAGTCAGAAACTTTTGGAACTGGATTCTAAGGTTACAAAATATTTCCCTGTGCTGTAAATCAATGAGTCATCACACCCATTTTGTCAGCAACTTGGTTCAGACTCTTGCATTCAGCTGGAGGAGCTTCTTTATCATTGCTGTTAATAGGATTTTTAGTTTTTTGGAACCAGAAACTGCTGCACAGGTTCTTGTACTTCTTGTCCCAGCTGAGTTGATTCCGTTTAGCGAGAAACTTTCCTGCCTATCTAACTCCCTTGAGATGTGTACTTATAATGGGTTGCACTATTTTCTGGTTTGAAGATTAATGGTGGTCATTTAGGAAACAGAATGCCTCAGGGGTTATCCTTGCTTGTCATGAAGTGAAGAACCAAATTCCTTTCTCAGGTATAAATAATGTTGGCACAGCAGGAAAGGACACATGGAGATCAAGGATAAAGGACAAGGTATCAAAAGATCTCCGTGCAAGTTTACATCAGCCAAGTGAGAGACCTGATTACTGGATTTCTTTCATGAGTAATTCAAATGAAACTTAAAAAATAAAATAGATACTTGCAAGAAAAGGGGTTAGACCAAAATAATTAATTTGGTTACACATTTTTGTGAAATTTTTGTCAAAATTGACTAGGACACTTCTTCAACCCGCTGTTATTCAACTCAGATCAGCTGTTTCTTTTTAATTAGTCTTAATCACATGAGTTGACCTATTTCCAAGGCTCACTGATCAAACAGAACAAAGTTTGAATTTAGTGGTGATGCCAATTGTGTTTCATAATGAGAGAGCTGATCTAATCTGCTCACATGGAACTCAGGCCTACAATAGAAGTTTATTAAGATTTATCTTTATACATGTTAATCATACAGTGCCAAAGTGGAATGGAATGCATTTGCACATAGCCATTTTTTTTTCTTGTTTGTATTTTATAAAACATTTAATTTCATTTTCATTTATTCTTGAAAAACAGTTGGATGAGATGTTTCTTGTTGGATTTTGGTCTAGGAAAGCCACACAAGAGAAAGAACGTTTTGATTTTCCACCACTGGAGGGAGCTGTTTAGTCATGTTTCACTGTGTCTACTAATGCTTTAAAATCCAGTGAGGAACAGTACACTCAAGGGCATG